TGTCATCTGGATTTCATTTTCCAGTAACATGGCTTGTGACAAAAAAGCTGCCAGTTCCTGGATGTTGCTGTATTTTGTGCTTTCTGTTTGTGAGCTGTGAATACACCACAGTTAACCCATTACCTTGCTTTTTTACCACACACACACACACAGGTTGTTGTACATTAATAACCACCCACACAACCAGATGACTGGATGTTTCGCGTGTCGAGGAGATTCTTAGATACAGATAATCCTCTGATCCTGTAAATTCACACACTTGCATGCAGCAACACACACACGCACATCTGTAGTTGAACACAGCCTTGGCCACAAATTATTTTCAGAGGAAAGAGGACTCTTGGAAAGAGGTGACAAGAGAAGAGGAGGATGTCAACATAGGGACAAAAAGATAAAGAGATAAACAAAGTGAAAGACATAAAATGCACTGTACATGTGGTTGCTTGACTTGAAGACTTTTTCCTCCCTCTCATTCCCTCCTTCCATCACATCTCCATTTCTCTGTCCTCCTCTACCTCCATCCCATTTTCTCTCTTTCTCTGCAATCTCCGGAAGAATAGCAATTACAGTCCACGGTTGGTAGAGGCACTTGTAAATGATTGAAAGAGAAAGAAAGAGAGGAGAAGGAGGGAGTGGACAGGCTAATAAGATTCAGAAAGCTGAAAGTCTCTATTGTCACAGAGTCTGTGTCAGTGGGAGGCAGGAGGAGAGGAACAATCTCTCCCTCCTTCTTTTTCTCTCCTGTCACTTTCCTTTTTTCTAGTTTTACTTTCTCTCTTTTTTTTCTTTCCATTTATTCATTCACCCTGAAGCCAGAAAGGACCAAACTCAATTATAAACTCAGAATTTCTCCATGAAATCTGACCCTGGCACTGCTTCACTTGTCACTTAAGTAACATGAAGGCACAAAAAGTCTCTGCTGATTAACAACCAGCCTGTTGAGTAGTTTATGTGGTCAGATGGCTTGACCAGAGACTCTGTGAGGACACGGCAAGTCATGCTGTTTTGGATTCAGGCTTTAGGGAAAAGAAAGTTTGGTTACTTTGTGGCTATCGCAAACTGCAAATGAAATAAAATTAAATTCCTTTTTTGCACCTTTTTTTATTGAGATTTGATCCCAAGCACTTGTATAGGAAGATGTTTTCTGGTGTTAATCTAGCATTCAGTTACTGTGCATGTTGAAGTTTTTATTGCAATCACTGAACAAGGATGTCATTTAAAAATATGTCTTTTTTTTGTTATGCGAAGGACAATTTTAGACACAGCAGTAAATACAGTGTTTGACAAGATGATGTCTGTTTTTTTCCCCAATACTTTGCTGGAATTTTAAACGCTAAACCCCTAAGCTAATTGTAGACTTGGTGACTCATACCGTGTAGTTGGGTTTTAACAAGCTAATCAGTGTAAAATTACAGTTTAGCACTGTATTTAGCATTGCAGTTCCATAACATTTTTGAGCAGCAGAACCAGAGACATTGTCTTTTTTATTACACACGTTCTTCTTTTTGTCAAAATGTGTCTGCATTACCCACAATGCAATTTGACCAACGAGTTTGGTCTGAGACTCAGGTGTGTTACGCTAGTAACAACTAATGTAGCCTGGTGAGATGAAGATGACAGCCTCAATTCTTTCTGCTCCATAATTGTAGTCTTCAGCCCCCATTGACACTGACTCAATTGACATCACTTGAGGCAATTTATCAGACTTCA